TATATATATATAATTTTCGAGAATATATGTGGGCATGATCACCGATTATTCCAGATCGAGTTTAAGGTTTTATAGATTTCGGATGTCATTATAGAGGAACTCTTATACATTCGATTTTATTTTTTTGTCTTGCATTTTTTTTTCATCTCAATTTTCGCATTTTGGTAATCATTAAAGAGCAAATTTTTTAGAGTTTTTTGAAACCCTCCTTCCCGGATTTTCAATTTTAACAAGAAAATATCCCAAATATATTAACATTATATATTGATACGTGATCTCATTATAATTATATATATATATATATATATGTATGTGTGTGATTTTTTTTTGTAGAGGTGGGTGTTTCAGGATTCAGGTCAAAATTTTAGCGGTTCGGTTTGGAAACCGTTTATTCTGTATTCTAAAATTTGTATCAAATTAGTACAGTATATTATTCGGTTCGGTTCGATTTCAGTTTCGGTTTTTGTTTAAAAAATAGATTTTTTTAAGAAAATTTCGATTTTTCGGAAATTTTATAAAGTTCGGTTCGAATCGATTTCGAAAAATTCGGTTCTATAAAAATTATACTGTTCGAAAATTTTGAATGGCACAATTCATAAGAATATCGAAAATTTCGATTCAGTACGGTTTGATTCCGAGAATAGGAACCGAAATACCCAATACGTACCCTGATTTTTTGGGCATAAGGATGCAATACGTCTAATAAGTATGGGTGTGAAAACGAGTCTGGCTACGCGAGATGGCTAGTGGTTTTTTTTGTATTTACTAATCTTGATCTATATATATATATGTGTATGTATATACCCATCACCTATTTGTAGTTTTACAGGTTTTGTGTTGAATATATTCATATGAAAACAATACTTTCCCACGACCTAATTTTAAAATTACGAAATTTTACAGACAATTTTTTTTTTTGATAAAGAAATTTTACAGACAATTTCTCCTATAATTTTTTTTTAATATTCACCATCCATACTTATATATATATGTGTGTGTATATATCTTACGTAAGATGTGTTCATACGATGATAATGTTCTTTAATACCGTAATATAATACTTGTCAAATATTAAATAATATGTCTGACCAAATAACGCTAACATACATATATATATACACTTTTATATACACGTTATGTAAGTGGAAATAAAATAAGACAGGCCTATCTCAAGAAAAATATATATAACATATAATACAAGACCAAACGGCACATGAAACTTCTTTTTGTCGCTCTACTTTCCGAGCTTTAGAAATTTGACCCCTCGAAAACTAAAGGACACAAAATAGTTAGCCCCTCTAAAAAGAGTTAAATAACAATTTGACCCCATAACTATCAGATCTTAGATATCAAAGCCGCCCTGAGCTGTTCTTGCGTGTAGATTCTGAAACCCATCTTGACTGTCGCTTGTTGTATCATCAGATCGTTGACCACCGACATGCTCGCATGATTCACTTCAAGTTCCAAATCTTTCAACGCCGACATCAAACGCGCCGCCGGGTGATTGCGTTTGCTCGATTCGATTCTAATCATCGCGTCCCAGCCTATGATCTTCACTTCGATCTCCATTCCTATCGGTTTGCTCACCGCCGACGAGGAATCTCCGCAATCGCGGTTACCCGCGTTTGCGTTTCGTCCCGCCAGCTCGCTCTTGAGGTTTTCGAGCTGGCACTCGATCTGGGTCTTCTCCGATTCAGTTCTTTGAAGCTTGGACTTTAACTCGTTGATGTAAGAAATGGCGTCTCCTAAAAGGGAGGCCTTGTCCATTTTCGACACGTTTGGAACCACGGCCCGTAACGCGTAGAACCGCTGGTTCAGCTTCTCGCGTCTCTGCCGCTCGGCCTCGACGTGGTTTAACGGCTCTTCTCGGCCGTTGGCCGGCTTTCTTCCGCGTTTTCTCGGCCGTTTCTCTGGCGCCGCCTCTTTCACGACGGAGGCCTCGAGGTCGGAATGGTCGGAAGATTCGCCGGGAACTCCGAAGGACAGAACCCCATCTTCGGTTACTCCGACAGACTTTGTCTTCCTCTTGGTGTCGCCAGGCAAGAACTGGGTCTGACCCGAGAACGGAGCCGGGTTCAGGTTACTGGAGCTCCGTTTAGCGTCCTCGCCGAAGCTCAGAATCTCGCCGGATCTTGGCTTGGCCAAGTTGGAATTCGAGGTCGAGAAATTGATCTCTCGCGAGAAGTTGTTGTACTTCGTGTTCTGTGTCTGGGACTGGACAGGGCTAGGGTTAGGGTTAGGGTTAGGGTTCGCGTTCTGGTTTTCGGTTATGGTGCTTGAGCTACCGTTCTCGAACTGCATAGACTTGGAGAAAAGCTGCGAGCTTGAGCTCGGAGCTCCATGGCCACGTTCGCTCGGTCCAGCTGCTCCACCGGTCGGGTCGGAGATCCACATAGACGGATCGTTCTCGCCTTGATCAGGGTCTCGGTTCCAGTGATGACCCGACAAATCTCCGGCGGCGGCGCCATCGAAACTGAAGAGGATTCGGACCTTGTTCATGAGATCCGAGCTCTGTCGGATCATCTCCGTCGAGCCGAGCTCCACCACACCGTTCGCCAACGGAATACAAGCGATGGTCTGCAGGCCGAAAACCCCACCTTGTCTCGCCCGCTCGCAGCCCGACCCGGAAAGCTGGTCCGACCCGACAACCCAAACCGGGTTCGACGTCGAGAACGCCTTACCCGTCAACCCGGATCCACTAGGGAAGCTCTGGGTCATCGAGACGAGAAAAAACCACTCCATGTCCGTCACCTCTTCGTCGATGGCATCTTCGGTGGTTACAGCTCCGCCGGAGATGAGAGAGTTGAGCTCCCGGAGAACCTTTTTCCGGTGTTCCTGCTCCGCCGGAGAAGAGAACATCGACGACCTCGGCCTCTGCTTGGCGCGAGCCTTGTCTTCCTCCCCCTTGTAGTAGCCATCTCCCCATCCGAGCACGGCTGCGCCGGAAAAGTCGCACGAAAGCTGCCAGAACATGGCGTAGGTCCAGCTCTCATGGGCTCCTTCGATCAGAGCCTGCAGACGCTGCTGGAGACTCTCCTGGCTGAAACTCGCCGCAGGATTCTGGTTCTGACCCGACGGAGCCGCCGCAGCCGCCGCCGGAGGCCAGAGGCCGGACAGGTCGGTGGAGCTCATGAATGCCTCCATCATGGAGGCGTTATCGTCGGTGGTCCACAGATTCATCATTCCATACACCGGTCGCCGAAAAAAACTACAATGATTATTATTAACAATTATTTCTCTAGAGAGAGGTCGATGGTGTCGGGAACTGGAGCAGAGCCTGGGGTTTTAACCGGTGAGGAAGACAAGGGTATAAGTGGAATTACACTTACGAGATGGACACGTGTCGTTTATCTAGACCAACGATCGTACGGAACGGTAGCGGAAAGAAGCTTCGATGAACGGTCGAGTGACGATTTAATCCGTCTGACGTCGAATCTAACAAGTGAGAACAAACCGAGTGAGATCGTACGGTTGTTATTCGAGGTTGAAATATACGCGCTATAATTGGACGGTTGGGATTTAATAAACTGTTATTCACCTCGGAGTGAGCATAACCCAGTCCAAACTCAGACAGTTCCTGAGATTCTGTTAATTAGTAGAATCTAATGATTTAATAAATTATTATTTAAATAATTTTATTTTCCAATATATACTGGACTCCTTTAAAATTAAAACTATAAATTATAAAAATTAGAATTTGTCGTGGACTCTTATATTTAATTGTTTTTGCATGTAAAAATTGCTACGGAGTAAAAAGGAAATAAAATAACAGTCCACAGAGAATCATATATCTGCAAGGGTTTGTCGTTTAGTTGATTGATTAATTAAATAAATCGGACCGGGTAGTTTTATAGTTTAAGTTACACATTTCCATGAGGTAAACGTTTTAATTAAGCCGTACCAATATTTAAAAAATAAAAAGTAGAAAAGTATTTGAATATAATATTGCGATCAATTTGATAAAATATAATAAAATAATGGTTAGGTGAATGAATTAGAAAATCATTTGAGCGTCTTTCATGGGGAGGGTGCAGTGTAATCATGTCTTCACTCCTAATCCAACAATTTAAACATATGTTACAAGAAATATGTTGGATTTTATTTTTTGGACCAAGATAGGGAATCGTTTAAATAGAATAAGATTTTTTATTTTATTTTATTTTATTTTATTTTAATGCAAATAGCGTAGATAATAATCAAAAGATTTTATTAGTGATTAAAGTTAATTTTGATTGGACGGCAGGTGGGACAGTTGATGCATTTCACAATTCACATGGACCACGCGTCAATGGTGTTTTGTCCTTTTTGTATGCCCTCTTGTTTTTTTTTTTTTGCAATTTCTTTAAATTATTTTATTTATTTAAAAGATTCAACTACGTAGGATAAGAATCAAATTAAACTGAACTTAATCGAATAATACTATATTTAATTTGAATAAAAAATGGATCTAAGAAATAATTTTATTCAATCTAATGCAAAAACAATACAACTAAATAAAATCATGGAGCTGAAATTTAATTTAGATTAAAAAATTAAATTTTTGTGCAGAGATATAAATAAGTTAACAATCCCTCATATTTATATTCAATTAATTTTATGTTTCTTACACCCGTCCCATTATTTACATTTAATTTTCCTCTCTGTGTTGAAAGTCAGTTATACGTTTTAAAACAACAAACTCATCTAGTAAAAGCTTATATGAACAAACTTTTAAATATCGTCAAACCACTCCTTTGAAAATTATAATTACCGTATTAAAAAATTTGCTATATTTTGTAATATAGAAGAGATATGCGTATATATATATATATATATATATTCTATCTGTATATATGTATATGCATGTATTATGTGTTACACATAATATCTAAAAATCTATCAGCCACTTCATTAATTACTCACACACACTTTTTGTATTCAAATAAAAATCTATGTATTTTTGTTTCCAATTCTGAATTACTGGTAAAAAAAGAGAGAAATGAGGGTTAAATGGTTAATAGCCATTTTTCTACTAAAATGCATAATATCGGACCAAATGATTGATATTATTTATGTTACCAATAAGGATATATTTTTAAATTATTAAAACATTTAATATCCCTTGAATATATATTTATTTGCATCTGGAAGAAGTTGCCTTTTGTGGCTGATCTTGTTGGGTGAATGCCCATCACTTCAAAACTCTTAGTATTTACGGAAAAGGGTATGATACTTTTGAATTTTCTCGATATGAGCACTAAATAATATTTATTACATCACTTCAAAACTCTGCAATTTAATTTTGTTGAAGTTGCTAGTTTAAAAAATATATATAAACATATATATATATAATTTTTAATAGTGATTCGATAGATGTGTTTATAAACTTCTATACTAAACTGAAAATATAACCGTTGACTGTTTATATATATAGTTAAAACAGTTTTGAAATAAATACTAGATTAGATAACAATATTACGTTTATGAAAATTATAATTTCTAAAATGTTGAACATTCCGTGATTATCTTTAAAATTTTAGTTTAGAAATATAACAATCAAATTGAAACAATTTGAAAAGAAAAATATCTTGGACATCAAAATTGGGGATCGTATGGACAAAAAGATAAGGTTAAGGGTCATTTTGAATATATAATAAAACCTCAGGGGGTTGAAATGAAATGAAATATTTGATATTCATTTGGCCGGAGAGAGAAGCACGTGATTCATGCAGCAGCTTATCATATCCACCCGTCTACGCGTCCAATAGAGCCGTCAACTTCGCCTTTTTTTTCTATAAGAAGAAAAAAAATCTCCTTTTTATATATTATTTTCTTTGGTTAAATCCTTTTTATATATTACTTTGTTAATTTACATAAAATATCTAAAATTAAGGCCAGTTATGATTATTATTTGTACTGTTGTCTTACCCTGAATAAATTTCCCGTTATATATATACAAAGCCCTAAACTTGGAAAACATATAATTTATTATCTGATTAACCTATTTTTTATCCTATTAACTGACTTTTATCATATTTATATATGTTAATGATTAAATTTTTAGTTCATAATATTTACAAAATTGGACGTTAAACATGTGAAAATAAACATCGTTGAGATATTTAAATGCTTTTTTTTGGGTAAAATTATTGAACTGCTTAAAAGTCCGCCGTGTCGCCGTTAGATAACGGCTATTTTGTCGGGTAGCGCATCGTCTGTAACGGCGGTCTAGACAGAAAAGGAGCGTTTTTGTCTTTTTGTGTCTGTATTATACCACGTGGGGAATTACAATTAGATACTCTTTCCATCTACTCCACACCTCTATTTATTTATTTATTTATTTTATTTTATTTTGATTTATTTCCCAATTTTTTTCATTTGTCGAACCTTTTTTACCCATTTTCTATCCGGAGGCTTCTCATAAGATTCCCATTTTTCTCCTAAATTTCAAAAAACCAGAAAAATTGGGAAAATAAAATTTCAATGAATAATTAAATATACAGTAAAATGTGGCGTTTTTACAAAAACAAGTGTGCATCCGTCTCAGTAATTTTTTGTTGTTGTTTGGCTTTTTTTTAGTAATATTCACCAATCACAATAACTTATTTCTACAATCGGCAAATAATATATTCCATTATTCGATCATCAGATCCATTTCAAACGTCATCTGTTGAGTTTATATATATATATATATATATTATGGACAAGCTTAGATTATGATGGGATATCATATGTCGACGCAAATAGAATATATAATGTTATATGGAATATATACAAATTATATTATTGAAGACACAGTTATCATAATCATGTTCATGATTATATATTAACGGTCCACAACAAACAACTATATATATACTTACAAAGCACATTCAACAAAATATATATATATATATATATATATATACTTTAACAAAACACACACATATATATATATATATATATATA